ACATTCAACCTTCCTTTTACACCACCTGCCCCACAACCCCAACTTGCACCTTGCAACATCCCTACCACACAACCTGTTCAACAATCCCACATACCGCCGCCAACAACAATCCAACAAGCTCCACAACCACACCCCACCAATGTTCCCACTGCCGATGCTGCACACATTGCCCCGCAGACACCGGCAATGACGCCCCAACAACAACCAACAAACACAGCCAACACCCTTTCTGTCAATACAGCGCCACCCGCACAACCACCCCCAGATACGGGATCGGCAGACACTGACCAGCTCGCAGCACGTACTTCTCCCCATCACCCTCCGCTGCCACGCAGACGACGGCGCTCACCCACACGCAGCAGAACTCGCACCGTGAGCACTAGACGTCGACGACACACACGCAGCCGAGCACGACCTGCAAGCAGCGGCAGACAGCACCGCCGACGCAGACACCACCGATCCCGCGACACTCGCAGAAGCCGTTCTCGCAGGGACACCAGGCGATCTTCATCGACACCTCCTCGGACCTCGGTTGTACTCCGCAGCTATTCTACAGTGCGTGATGATGATGCCAACAAGTGGCATTACCGAGCCACACAGCCACGTCAAAGGCCACCTACCCCACCCAAGGTCCCACAAAAAACATTGGCCTCGCAGGTTCAGCGCATCGCCCTTCGCATCAAGGGCAACCAAGCAGCACAACAGCAGCCCCCAACAAGCCAGGGCACATCCTCGCGCCAACACCTTCGGCACAATCCCCCCAGCTCTGTTCGGACACCTGCTCCGACTTTTGATGCATCCACAACTGCTGCCCCATCGGGTCAGCCAACCCTCGAACAACTGGGCAAACAGAGCAGACCACCACAGATTGACGTGGCGCCTTTCTCTGAGCTTTATGATCATGAAAAGCCGACACCCCACGCTGTCGACATGGAGGAAGCGCATAAACTCGCCAAAACTTTGGGCGAGATAGCTGCTGACAGCGATTTCAGGCAGGAGACTTTAGCCGAATTCGCGCATGCCGTATTACAGTCGGGCACGCGCTCAGCGTGCAACGAATTGGGGGCAACGCTGACGCCAATATCGGACGGCGTGCATACTATGTTATTCATCCCGTGGGCTGGAGAGACTCGCAGAGCATTCGGCACTCGTGCCACCGACCCACCAGGGGAAACATACATCTACACCGCCGGACACGGCACGAGCATTGCAAGTGCAGCGCGCATAATGCGCGAGGACTTGGTCCGCCCAAGTTCAGTCAGCCATTGCTTCGACGACAAGTCCTATCCACCCATTCCCTCTTGCGTCATATACGGGAATGCGACCCCAGGAGATGTATCGGAAAGCACGGTACATATAGTTACCGATCAATGTACACGGCGGCCCAAGGGCCAACAGGGAGTGATCGTCATCGGGACAATACGGACTAAGTATCAGCATTACAAGATGACGTGTCGGGACATGTACAGAGAAGCTTTCATCGTGGGGCGAAAGGGTGTCGTGCGGACCCCAGAGAAGTGGGGATTCCACTCGGGGCATTTCAGCATCGTTGG